TGGCTATTCTAATTGAATCATCTCAAATCTACGTCTTGTTTTATATAAATTTTGACATTATATCACGTATCGACACATGATTGAACAATTTTTAGAAATAATACACTTTTTCGTCCAACACTTTTAAAATTTGTACATAATGTACATCATGATGTAACCTACGAAATGTACACTATAATTCATTCTAATTCGGGTCAGCAGCTCACGAGCTTTCGTATCATAATAAGTGCATCGTGTCAAGCTAGATAATCGAACTCGATGATCCGTAACTATCAGCCTAGTCATTCCAACGAGTTTGAGTTGGCTTATCGAAGTAGGCGAGTTGTGTTCGGTAGGAATTAAAAGCCAAAACACTGCCAAGTTGCTTTACTCGGTAAAGATCGTACAATTCCAAAAGATGCTATCATGCTTAATTCAGCATCAGACTCTTTGATACACTCAGCTATGTTCGGTAGGAATTAAAATCTAAATTTTAATTTAAATCAAATTCAATGATTAATTTTTATCGCATATTTAATAGAACCCGCAACTTTTCTACCACACATTTCATTATTTTTATCAAAATCTACTGAGCATCTGATTTAAATCCCCATCAAACAAGGGTAATATGATCAAATGTTATATAACTCGGAAAGAGGCATAATTCAGCATTAAATTTTTAATACTCTAATAAGATATGATACATTCGATCGTGTATATGACACAAATGTTAGCACAACGTAAACTTGACCTATGATGTCAAAGGAAATCCAATGTCAACATGTGCAATTATCTACAAGTGGTTCCAAGTGAGCTTTAAAATTTTAAAGAAAAGTGCTACATGTACATAAATCTATACATAATAGTGTCCATAATTACACGTGGCACTGAATTCAACCATTAATTCAAATATCACACTTTCACATCAACAACAGGATTTTGTCAACATTACATTATGGACACTATTATGTATATGTAGACTTCTCCAATTTTAAGTATGTATCACACTTTGGAAAAAATTGAAGACATGAAATAAATTCAAATTATGCTAACCGTACATCTTATTGGATTTTTGTGCTCCAGAAAAGAAGAGGAAAAGAATTGAGGATTTGTCTAAGAATCTAGAACTTGTTCCGGACTCATACCAAACGTGATGTAAAAACATTACTAACATCTATGATGATGAAAGTTATTGTTGAATTGCAATTAACCCCCTAAAATTATGAGTCGGTTAAAGGTAAAATCGGAAATTTGAAGCGGTAGTGAACCCTTTACAATTTTTTGTTCAATTCAGGAATGGTTCGATTCCATCAATAAATGCAGGATCGTTTGCCTCTATAGTCTATATGCAAATTTTCATTGGTATTCAATTCAATACGATCCGATTCTCATCAGAACTGGAATGAAATGGACCTTGCCCAACCTTGGGTCAAGCATTATCCACTTCAAAGTGTCCAATTAATATATCTTATTAAAGTTAAGATGTCCATTTATCACATAAGAAAATACAATAAGGGCAAAAACATTTGTACCTATTCAAGTTGACCAACAGCACATTTCCTTGCTTATTCAAAAGCCTTTCCTTCAATCTAAAACGTGCACTTTGACCACAGCAGCCAATATTGATGCTGGCTGTAAACTTTTCAAACCAAAATCTTACATAAAACTACATAAACATTAAAACCCACAAATTTTCTTGAAAAATTAACAGAGAAAAACATTATGGGCAAGTCTCAGTTTCTCACTTTTACCCACATGTTCTTCTATTTAATCATTCATTCTGCAAATTCTTCATGCCCCATTGATTTCATTTATGTTGAAACCTTCCCATGGGACACGACCCTTTGCCATGAACCTGTTCAATCCAGTTGTTGCCAAACTCTTCGCAGCCTTTTTGGCATGGGACTTGCCCAATATCTCAAAGAAAGCTCGATGTTTTATCTCCCAAATGAGAATTCTTCATCTTCTTGCATTGCCAACTTCCAAGAAAAGCTGTCCAACGTGTCCATGTCTCGGTCCCTTTTCAGTTCGTGCTTTAATGATACAAGTGAGTTTGCTAATGGGCCTTCAAGTTGTGCTGGAATTACAACAACACAAGATTGGATCGAAAAGGTTGGATCATCAAGTTTGCTGGATTCATCTTGTAACGAAGACTTAACAGGATTGACTCGGTGTAGTTTGTGTTTAGATGCAGGAATGCAAGTGACTTCATACCTGGTTTCATTAGATCGCAATTCCACCAAATGCTTCTACTTCACTATCTTCTATGCTGCTGCTGTTGTCAACGATTTCGGGCCGGAAGATCCAAGGACCGCTGCTTGTGTACTAGGCCTGCCCCTGGCTACCTCATTTAGTAACAAAAAATCGAACCACTGGAGCCCAAAAGCTGTACTGAAACTGGTTTTCGGGTTGGTGGGGGCTGTTATAGGGATCTTTGTTGCACTTTTTGTATTCATGGTTTACAGAAAGTGGGATAAACAAAAGAAACAGGATGTAATGCATGAACAGTATGTGAGTTCTGTAAAGTCAAGGATTTTGCCAAAAACATGTGCCAAATGGTTTCATATAACTGAGCTAGAACAAGCCACAAATGGATTCTCCCAAAGCAATATGATAGGACAAGGTGGATATGGGATTGTATATAAAGGAACACTTTCAGATGGGACTGAAGTGGCCATCAAGCATATTCTTGATTTGGATACAAAAGGGGACGACGAATTTATCAATGAGGCACAGATCATAAGCAAGATAAGACATAGAAATCTTCTTTCTCTTCGGGGTTTTTGTGTCACGAGCAGTCAATTCCAAGGCAAAAGAAGATACTTAGTATATGATTTCATGCCAAATGGAAGCCTTGGTGATCATTTATTTTATGACAAGACTCGATTGTCCTGGCCTCAACGCAAGAACATAATTCTTGACGTGGCGAAAGGGCTTGCTTACTTGCATTATGGAATCAAACCAGCGATTTATCATCGTGATATAAAGGCTACAAACATACTTCTAGATGATGACATGAAAGCAAGAGTGGCAGATTTTGGATTGGCTAAGCAAAGTACAGAAGACCAGTCTCATCTAACCACAAGGGTGGCTGGAACATATGGATATTTGGCACCAGAATATGCTCTCTATGGACAGTTAACAGAGAAGAGTGACGTTTATAGCTTCGGCATAGTGATTTTAGAGATTATGAGCGGAAGAAGGGTGCTTGATGCAACAGAATCTTCAAGAATTCTAATCACGGATTGGGTGTGGGGTTTTATGAAATCAGGAAAGATTGAAGAAATTTTCCATGAGTCGATAAGAAGAGAAGGACCAAAGGGAGTAATGGAGAGATTTGTTCGTGTTGGCATTCTCTGTGCTCATGTGATGGTAGCCCTTAGACCTACCATTGCTGATGCTCTAAAGATGCTTGAGGGAGATATCGACATCCCACAATTACCTGACCGGCCATTGCCTCTCAGCCACGAGTCGTTTCGATCTGCAATACCATACAATGTGACTTGGTCTTCATCACGGTACAGTGTATTCAACAGTTTGACATCAGAAGCAAAGTCAAGAATTAGCAGTAATGAAAATCAGATACAGCAGAAATTCTAAAGTGTAAGTTTCTTGCAGTCAGAAAATGCAACTTGCCTAACATAAACTGGGATTACCAAATCAAACTTTTCGACTCTTACTTTTTCTGATAATCTGTTGATTATGTATATAACAAATTAAGTGTTATTCCTAGTAAATTTGGGTCAGATATATGTATCCTTACGCGCCAAACTTTCATTCTACACGGATAACCCATACGTCAGGAATAAAATTCCTCATTGTTCAAATACGAAAAATCAAGTTTGAGTTAATCCTTCTAAGGTTTCATCTTAAAAGGTTAAGATGAGTCATCCAAACCCCTGTAAATTAGTTTATATTTTCATCTTTAACACACTTACGTTATCAAACTGCAAAAGCTCAAACAAATAATCGATCGGTTCAAACGAGCAGTATTCAAGTCGAATTTTACAATGGTGTTCTCAAACAGGCCACCAAGATCGTTTAAATACAGAAATAATAATCAGTTACTACTCCATTTAACAAAATTAACCATTCAGCATAAAACGCAATACATAATAATTTACATAAAAGTGGGTGCGGTGATAGCAAAAGCAAAAAAGATCACGGAATTTAACAAATAAATCAAATATTCCAATGACAGCAAAAGCAAAAAGATCGTTGAGTAATACGACTAAATCAAAACTAAATTTCATCATACCTTTAGAAAAATAGTCCTAAGATTTGATTTTTCTTTTTCCGTAGTATCGTTCTCCCAAATTTAACTTAAAAATCCATCAAAAACAATCGATAAAGAAAAGTTACAAAACCCATTTCGTCTGGTGTGTAAACCAAATCGAACTCCATTTACACTACTCACCAACAGAAAGCATGAATTTGGAGCAAATGAAACTTTTTTTCTTGCTTTTAAGTAATTTAATTTATTTTTATAACTTATCTATTTCTAATTTTTATAAATAAAAATTTATTTTCTTTTCTATTCTTTCGTTGGGTTAGGGGTATATTTATAAATTAGGGTCCGTTTGATTGCAAATGTGAAAAATTTGTGAAAAAAAATAACTTGTAGACAATTGAATTGCCAAAAAATTGTTTTATTGAAAATTGTAACTAATTGTGTTTGATTTGTATAATTTTTCACTTCAAAAATGTTGAAAGTTTGGTATCCGTTTGGCCTTATTTTTATGAAAATTGTCCATTAAAGTGATAATTTCTTTTACCATTGGGTCTAGAATTTGTTTAACTTGCCAACAAAATTATCATACCAAATACCATTCGTTTGGCTTTGTTTTGCATGAAAATTATCAATAAAAGTGATAATTTTTTTTACCATTAGGTCTAGAATTTTTCCTTATTACCAAAAAAAAAACTGAAAAATGAAAACTCACCTAAAAGGTGGGAAAACAATTTCAACAAAAATGTGGAAAATGCGCACGTGTAAGAGAAAATCCTATCGAACACTACAAAAGTTGAAAAATGGAAAAAAATTTCCATTTTCCATGGAAAATGTTGCCCATCAAACAGGGCCTTAGTTATGGTGTATCTATAAAACATTTATTTTAATCCTGTATATTTTAAAATGCGGTGGAATACAAATTAATGTAAACGTAATATATTTTTTGGAATATCTTTCTATATATAAAAAGTGTCTATTTAACGGAAATTGTTGGTTTAACAGAAAAACTAACGGAATTTTTTGTTTTAACGGATTATGTAACGGAATTTCTTGTTTTAAATAGGCAGATGCACCTTCTTTCAGTATTTTTTATCATAACTTTGTATTCCGATGTTCGATTGAGGCGATTCAAAATGCGTTAGAAAGCTAACACATCTGACTACAACTTTGATTTAGACATCATTCTCCAATTCGATCACTTTCTATGCCAAAAACATGTCTCAATATAACGGACTATGTAACGGAATTT